CATCCCTCAAGGGTCCTATCCCCATCCTAACATTTTGTTTACCCTTGATATATTTAAAGAAATCCTTATTGTTAATTTTTAAATTTTGAAACAACCTTTTTTCATACATCCTTTTTGATGTCTAATTTCCTGTTTCACCAACTTTCTTGATTTTCTATAATCTTCTAAATCTCCCGTCATACGAGTCAAGTTAAATTTCTTAAATTTATGCTTTTCTTTAATTTTATCTTTTACACTCTTTGTGAGCCAACCTGTTTTTTTATTTGTAGCTACCCTTTTCTTTCTATAAGGAATATGTTTACCTTCAATATTTAAAAATGTATCTTTAAAAATTTCCACATTTGATCAATGCTCCAATTAACTCAGCTACCCAATTCACAACAGATAATTCTTGTCACATCCCTTCAAAATTAGCTTTTTTGAAATTTGTAATCAAAATACCATTATTCCTTATCTCCATATGCAACAAAACATTTAACCTAATAGAGCAATGATCACTTGCACCCAAATGTTCCCCAATTTCCACCCTCTCAATCATTTCTGTATTTGAAGTTAACAATAAGTCTAAAATAGCATTGTTTCCAGTTGTTTCCTTGACTAACTGGTGAGGAAAACCATCCCGAACAATATTAATATTTAATGATTATTTAGTTATTATAATAAGTGTTAAAAGTTAATTATTTTAAAAGCTATAGTTATGACAAGTTTCATTAAGTAGCCCTGTATGAGTCATACGTTGTGTATGCAGTTTAACTGTTGTATTAGGCTTTTGTAATATTGTTAACGTCACCTTACTCGAAGCTCCTAAGTTTTTCTCACTGCTTTAAGTAAGTATTGTTACATCATGACATTTTGTAGTTAGTAGAAAGTTCTAGGACCTAGTCGGGAAATATATATACATAGGCAGTTAATTTAAGTAAAAGAAAGTAAGTTAAGTTAGAAAAGGCAAAAGTGAAGTTAGACTATGTGTCAGTTTAGCCAGAAAGGGGTGATTTATAAAGTGAGTGTCACAGCTTGTGTTGTAATAACAGGGACAGAGAATAATAATTTGTCTTGCCAAAGGGTGTTCTAAAGTAACTGAACCTGCCTGTGTGGACCTTGACAAAATGGAAACAATTATTTAAAGCTTTGTATACAACTGTGGTAACTAACAGTAATTGTGGTGATTTTAAGGTAAGTATCACAGCTTGTGTTGTAATAACAGAGATAGAGGAGAATAATTTGTCTTGTCAAAGTGTGTTCTAAAGTAATTGAACCCAACTGTGTGGACTTCTGATGAAAAAGAAAGCTCTGGATGCAACTTTGATAACCTATTGTGTAAATAATTTTTTGTACATACATTTTACTTGTTTTGAATATATTATTTTAAAACAAGTGGATTGTGTGCTGTCTGTTTGTTGTTGAAATTTATCACCAAAAAGTCACAGACACCTACTGTGAAGAATCTGGCCCTATACAAACCTGACAGTAATAAACAGTCACATACCACAACTTATTCACATATAATACACATCTTGCTGTTATTAGAGCTGGGCAATTAATGGAATTTAATAATCATTAATAGATAGTTGGAATAATCAAAAATAATATTAACTGGAAACACTAATTTTGGATAAGCTGATTATTTTTGCAACAATAATCAATTTAATCGATGCTCATAAGGAGGCTGAAATAACTCAAGATATCAATTACTCAAAATGTGATTTGTGAATGGATGGCAGGCTTAACAATAAAAAGACTATGCTGTTATCTGATTCTATTGGGAGAAGTTCTGCCAATTCAGAACTTAACAGAGGGAGGAAGCAGGTTGAGGCTAACTCTGGGCTAACTGACAGTTTTTATACTGTGACCTTTTTAAGTTGTAGTTTTACCAGATCATTAAACACTATATAATTTTAGTTCTACTGGTTCAGGCTGGTTTTGTAGTGGACATATTGCATAAAATGGACTAAGCTTATTGTTATTGAGTCCAACTCAGATCTTGCTACATCCTTAGCCGGTTTAAATATTTGAAGTGTAATTATCAATATACAAGACACTAAAAGTTTCAGTTCAAGTAACAGGATGTTTAATTCCTTCAAAGGTCCTTTCAATGTTATAGGGCTTGTTTTTTTTGCATTGCAAAAACAAAAATTATATTTTATGAAGTTTGAAACTCCACATAAACTTTCTACAGATTATGTAACTTACAAAAATTAAATATCTTATTTTTGTGATATTTGTATCAACTTTCATTTTTGAAAATTCAAAAAGATTTCAAAGTAATACTTTTCTTTTAATAAACAATTAAAAATTCTAAACATCGTTGTAGATTTTCATTACTGATTGTTATCCTTAGTAATTTTTCTTTTTCTTTCAAAAAACTAGATGTGAATTTTGTTCTATGACTTATGACTCTTTCTCTCTTTGATTCTCACATAAATTTCCTTGAGTTAGCAAAATTGCCACCAACTACATATTCTTGGTACTTTATAAATAAATACTAATTGTCAACCCATTACAAAGCCAACAGGACTGATACAATATAAGCTGGAACTTGTATTAATAGTAACAGAGCACTGCATCTTCAGCTTGTGTGACTTAACATGTGATAGAAAAAAAGGGAAAAGTAACAACTTACACCATCAAAAAATTGTAAATGATAAATAAATATTTTGATGTTCACAATGTTTTGAGCCAGAAAACCCTTCTTCTGATTATTTTAAAATTGATATGCCTCAAATAAAAAAATCCCCTAATTATAATCTGATTAATAGCTGAAAACTTAATCTCACTGTAAAGTGTCTAATTAATTTCATCACTTTCACCTAAAAACCTTCCCTGTTTTATCTATTAACAGAAACCCAAATAGATTCAACCTCCTTGTTATTACCTTTGATATCCTCAAATTCAACAGGATGTAACCTACATTTTACATATAAAACCAACCCTCTTCCTCTTTTTAGTACTCTAGCCCTATTAAACAACTTATAACTCTGTATTTCAAAGAAATTTCTGTCATCATAATTGTCTACATCTAACCAAGTTTGTTATTCCTATGACATCAAAATCCTCCATTTAAACTAGTCACTCAAGTCATTATTTTATTTCTTATACTTCTAGCACAATAGTTTTTCTGCATTTACTTTATCCTGGCCCTCAGTACCATCTAGTTATAGTAAAAAGCCCTTTCAAACAAGCCAGCCCCTATCCTACACACACAAAATAATGCATTTAGCCTAACACATTTCACTACAAAATGTATAAACAGTTTAACACACTGCTCTCTGTAATGTACAAAATCATTTAAGCTCAAGTTAAGTAACAAAACCCATACCATTACTATGTCATTAACCCAACTAACTTGCTAATAAGAAACTTTTAACCAAAGGAGCTTTATTCGGCTTTAGATGTGGTAAAAAGGCTTGTAGTTTCTAAATTAATGCACCAAATAATGCTTTACTGGTTGACTGTCTATTGTCAACCTTGTTTAGATGAAAAAAAAGGCTGACAGTGGTACAGTTTTAATATTTAATGAAAGAGTATATACTTTTATATCACAAATCATCCCAACTTAGATGTAAAGAAAACGTGGATAGCTTCAAACTCTTTCTTGGATTGAAAAAAGATAATATGTTTAAATAAAAAAAATACACAATAAGCAGACCATGTTCTTTATACACTTTTTTTTTCCACTTAATATACACAACATACTTGTTAAGTATTATATACTGGTGATTGTAATAATTCTAATAAGTACCATTACTTATCAACACACCACAAGTCAAGTCAGTGATCAGACCTTTCCTATTTAACTTTTGTTTTTTACTAAAGGCTTTATTAAAGCCAAAACTAAACTGTTGCAGGATAGCAAGACCAAATTCTGGTGTTTCTATGGGTAAAAATAAATACTTTTTACAGGATTTCAAACTTAACCATGTCAAAAGTGTATGTCTTGTAAGTAAAAACACTTTTTCTCAGTGTTACTGTTAGTTAGTACTTTTATTAAGTACATTTTCAGTATTTTGGCAACGCACCAACTTGGTGCATGATGGGTCAAACAGCCTTCTAAAAAGTTCTGTCCCTTCTTTCCTAATTCTAACAATACCACTGTAGCCTAACAGTAACACTAACAATCATAGTTCTTTTGTTTTTATGAAACACCAAGAAACAATACTGTGGATTTCTTAAGTTAAAGTGTCACAAAAGTTACGTCATGATCTCAACCGAAACTTTTATTGAATGTATGATATGAAGTGTTCTTAATATTTTCGCGTTCCTATTTGCTGTTCAGTTTTCTATGCTTTGGCATCTTTCAAAGTTTCAACTACTGTCATCTGCTAATCTTATTCTTAAAGTATCAGTAAGAACAACTTCAAGTACGTTTAACACAAAGTGACAAAATGAAACTACAGTTTAACAGCGGTAAGCCCGCGGTTAGGCTTAAGAATATTCAGAGATATCAACAATTACGATTTAAGCGCCTTGCCTAACCCTTATCTTGTACGTTTGACTTGTAGTTATCCAGTTAGCTGCCCCCACACTTTCTTACTACGTCAACTTCAAGTTCTTGAATATTTAAAGTTTTGTACAATAATTATTAACCCAGTACTAAAATACACGTTTAAATTACCCCAGAAAAACTACTTGAATTAGTAAGAGGTTAATAAAAATGATTTACCGTAGCGTCATCTTGGAAATTCCAAGACCAAAGCAGTTACTTCGCAAAATGCATACAAATCGATCGTCTTCGTCTGTCAAAAGTAGCAGCTGGTACTTCCGCCCTCTATTAGTATTAGTTTTGACTTCACCAGTCACGTAAGCTTTAAATTTTAGAACAGCACTGTTAGCTGCTATCAGTAACAAATATAAAAGAATCCATAAAAAATTGAAATATAAAGGCTAGGCAAAGTATTCGAAATTCAACAAAATGGTGATAAAATCAAACAACACTTAACTTAAGTAAATTAGCCAGATAATATTCGAGAACAACGCGAGGAACGTAGTTCTCTCGCGTGCACCAAAGCAGACGACATGAATTAACATCACAAAATAATATTAATTGAATAATTTTGTCTAGCGCTAAAATAAGGAAAAACGTATTTAGTGAGTTCGGTTAAAGGCAGTTTCTTGAGTTAGTTAAAACTATTATATTAACTATAAACTTTGATTCGAGTGATTGATTCTTTTCTTACTTTTCTCGATTGTCCAAGCTTCAATCCTTATTGAACAAATGCAGTTTTTTCTTCTTTTTTAGCTCTCATGACTAACATGCAAAAGTAAAAATTACAGATAAAGTTACGCTCAAGCAGTCTCCTGCTGAGACAAGCCAGTAAGTCAAGACTCGTGAACGATCGGTTTTTATATTATTGAGAAAGAGACTTTTAATTTTAATATTTATTAATGAGAACTTCCGAGTGAAAGTAAAGTGTACAATAATGTCAACCACGCAACATCCTGTCAACGAGGCCTTTCGCCCATATGTTAGGAGGTCATGGGTGTCAGAAAAAAAGGCTGGTGTGCAGGGGCGACGGTAAGGTGGGGGACTTGTTGAGGCTGAAGCTACCCTAATATGTGCCTTATCCTTCTCTGTAGTCCTCATCCAACAAACTCCCATCCAACGAAAAGTGCTTACTGTTAAAGCTGATTTACCTCCTAAGTATTAAAGTATGTGTGTCCACAAGATGTAGAGTATATCCACCACAATTTCATGTCAGCACTCTCACCAAGAAGAGGCTGGCGCCGCTCCTGCCGGTGTGTTATACTTGGCTAAAATGTTTTAAAATAAAAAAAATCCTCCCCCAGTTATCTCTGCGATATAACTTAGGCCTAGTAAATAACAATTAAATATGCTGGGAATCATTTAGTCTTCTTAACGTTGTTAATACTTGAATGAATATACCTTAAAAGGATATTGAACTGTAAGTTATTTTAAATAAAGAGAAATGGTGACATTCACCTGGATGTTATAATTTACTTTATACGTGGACCCTCTGTTGAACAAATGCAGCTAACTGGTTGTCTTTTCTCTGATCAGCATTCTTATATTAGGGACAGCTATTCCTGAAGCGCGGAATCTTTAAGTATAAGGTGCCATTCAGGTTGAAAATACAGTATCAAATATAGAACAGTATTGTACTTTTTAACTCAGAGATTGACATTTAATGGGTTAAACTGGTCAGATTCGTACAGGTTAAAAACAGTTTAAATATAAATAGAAGGCAGTGATTTTAAAACTCATATTATTTAATTATTTGCCGATATAAAATGATTCAAAATAGCTTTCATCTTTGGTAAGGATGATTAGTTAAATGTTAAATTGCCTGAGAAATATGTTAGTCTGGGAATATGTATTCATTTCAACCTGGAAACAAACTGGTTTGGTTTGTTTTGAAATTCGCGCAAAATTACACAGGGGCTATCTGCGCTAGCCGTTCTTAATTTAGCAGTATAAGACCAGAGGGAAGGCAGCTAGTCATCAGCACCCCCCGCCAACTCTTAGGCTACTCTTTTACCAACGAATAGTGGGATTGACCGTCACATTATAATGCCCCCACGGCTGAAAGGGCGAGCATGTTTGGTGTGACGGGGATTCGAACCCGCGATCCTCAGATTGCGAGTCGAGCGCCCTAACCACCTGGCCATGCCGGACTAGGAAACAAAATGACTCTGTTGCATGGAAAATGATTAATAAGGCTAAGTACTGTCTGAGGACAATGCTTTATAAATAAGAAAAGGCGTTGTCAAATCAGTAAAAATAAAGACTTCTGGTGACATTGTAGCACCGTCTCTTTACGGCTCCTGTTTCTAGCACATGGATGATACGATTAGAAGCAGATAGGCCAATTTGTTTATTTATTGAATTTCGCGCATAGCTACGTGAAAGCTATCTGCTTTAGGCGTTAAGTGATAAATAACATCACCTACCATCAATTCTACTTTTTACCAGCGAATAGTGGGATTGACCGTCACATTATAACGCTGAAAGGGCGAGCATTGGCGGGATTCAAATCGACAACTCGCAGATTGCGAGCTAAATGCCTTAACCACCTGGCCATGCCAAACTGACAGTTTGTTTGTTATGGATTTCGCGCAAAGCTACACGAGGGC